CAGCATTCCTGCTCCTTCCACTCCACAAGTGCTTGTGACTACAGACATTTCCTGACTCCCTGGTAATTAAGAAGATGCATTTTCTTCCCCCTCTCRGAGTATTTACCAGTTTCTCTCATCCCCTACTTCCCTTGTGTCTCTCTCATCCTACACAGTCTCTTGACTACACTGCTGTCCTCTGTTYGAAATCTGTTTTGCTCTCCTTCAACCACTCCTGTTGGCTTTCATGCATCTTATGTCAGCCCTTTGTRTGCCATTGCTTTCTCTACTTCTTATTAAATCATAACTAGTGGTTCAAAAGAAGTAATTATTAAAATGCAACATGACTTTTTTTTCTCTTGACTCTCCTAGTTGAGTTAAAAGAAGTAAAATTTATCTTCTCTTCCACACCTCTTCTGCAATCCCTCTGGCTGCCTTCATGACTTCAGCTCCACCACTATCCAGAAAAATCTATGCCTTAATTTTCACTGTATTTGCCTCAGTTTCCTCGATTTGTTGTCTGAGTAGGAARAGCAGATCAAGGGATCAAAGGCAGACCTGCCAGTGCTGAGTACTGCAGCCTCTGCTCTGTTCAGAAAAGCTTTACAACTGTGCTATGTAAACCACAAAATCTCTTTGCTCAGGAGGCATAGAAAAGGGAACAAGGAACTTGAAAATGGATCAAAATATAAAGAGTCCTAGGAGGTAGAAGTAGCTTGGGGTGAAAAWTACAACTGTCTTTTACTTCATAACTCAGCAAAAAGGAGAAAAGATAGTGAAATTTGATGGTGCTAGATTGTTCAGGGAGAACAACACAAATAAGGAAGCAGTAAAATTCAGACAGGCTAGAAAAGGGAGATGAAGCACCTCACACTGAGAAATGCAAAAATTCTGTTTTTGAAGAAACAGAAATGTTAGGCTTTATCTATTGTTAAATCATTTCCCCTGAATTAGGAAAACTTGAGCTTCCCAAAGCTGTGTCCTTTTCACAATGTGCTGCCAATAAGAACAGAATCTTTGAGGTTTGGTCAGTCCTTCTGCAAGTGCTTCTGAGTCCTCACAAGGGAAGACTACAGCTCCTCCTGAACCTAGTTTATAGAAATGTACTCCACTGAGCTTTAGCTTAAAGTCAGGTGGTGGAAATGCAAGGAAGTTAAGAATTCTTTTAAAAGAGATCTTTATGAATGATAGTATCACTTCAGCTGGTGAGGAACTGACCTGTGCCTGTCGGTAACCCATTATCTTTCAGAGGCAGGCTACAAGAGATCTACCTGTCATTAGTTTAATACTACATTTAAGCTTTAAATCAAGCATGGATTACAGGTGTTTCTGGAGAAAGTGGAAAACACTCCTCCCTTCTTTTTGTTTCTAGGTGAAATTATTTGTCATACAGGAATGGGGATATGCAGTCCCTGCAAATCTACAACCTTTTTTAAATTTGCTTTTGAATTTGGCTTTGAATTTGGCTTTTTTTTTTTTTTTTTTTTTTTAAGGAAGAAAGCACGCACAAATCCAGAGGTCATCTGGAATGACAAAAACAAGAGGCTTTGATTTGGTCCATCAGCCTCAGTGTGGCTCTACATGGTACAAGGACTCAACCCTCAGCCACTTTGGGAAGAAAAGAAGAGAAAAAGCATATAAGACGGGGAAAGAGTGTAAGTATGGAAGGTGGTGAGCAGCCAGAATTGGATACTGAGCTGAAAAATCGGTGGTGGGGGAAGTCTTATTAACAGCCTAGAAAAAGAAAAAAACCATGATCCATAGGAAGAATGTATGCTTGGAAAGGACACTGGCCAGAGCAGACTTTGGTTTTGTTAGGTATGAACAGGAAACCCATAAACAAAGGTGGCTTGGAAGAGAATAAGCACATGGATAAAGAAGAAAAAAAATGCCATAGTGCATTCACCAAGTCTCTGTCCACTGTTGAACAGCAGTGGGAGAACAGACATTTTTGTGCTCAAATATGAAATTTAAAGAAGGCATTTAAGAACAATGTAAAAATATAACAAAGGGAAGCAATCTTAAGTGATTGTGGGCTGCCCCTAGCATCCTGGAATAAAAAGAACAGTGTAAGAGAAAAYACAGTCCAACAGTAATAATGGGGACGATAGAGGGAGCCAAATTAATTAAAAAAAAACATTAGGCGAAATTGGTACCGTAGCTCTTCTGACAAAAAGAGAGATTCAGAGTCTTCATTAAAGTTSACAAAGTTCTTAGTGGGCTAAAGAGTGGGTATTCTACAAAGCTGTTTGACCTAGTGTCAAGCACAAGCAAAGATGCAGCAGTAAGATAAGCCATGGCTGGACATTACAGGAATTCAGGGTGGAATGTCAGCATAGAGCAAGACAGAAATGCAACATAAATTCCCCTTACATGGCCAGAGGACTAAAAGTTTGCTCCATGGAAGAACTGTGCATTAGGTAATACTGTAGAATTCTGTAGCTATCCCAAAGGAAACTGTGCCTGAGGATTTGTCACCCCAAGATTTTTCATTGTCATCATTTTATAGTGATCCTGCATGTTGACAAAGTGCTCTGAGCCTGCCCTCTCACATTTGCTGCAGTGTAGCTGGAGCTGGCTCAATCCAGTGCAGGCAGACACAATACACAAGAGATCAGATACTGTCTTGCTCAAGATCAAGYCTTGCAGTCATTGTGCCTTGAAACWCAGTCAGGGTTTCAGTATAACATAKTGGTCTGTTTCAAACAATAAATGAACTRAGTCAAAAGGTTTTAGGGAAAACAGATGCAAAGACTGAACTAAGAAAGATAACTAAGAAACCACTTTAAAAATAATGTATATTTTGTCAAAAGCCTCGATTGGGAAGGCATAGGAAAATCTATTTTCTGTGTGAAGGATGGCATGGTCTGTGTCTAAAGAAACAGAGGCCTGATGTGTCATCCTCTTTGCCACTCCATTTCTCAAGTGACCCTCACAGACCCCCAAAGAGCAAAGCAGTTGCCACACCAGATCAGCCCAGTAGCCCACCTCATCCAGTCTTCTCACTTCAATAGTTGCTACTCTCTGAYACTTCAAAGAAAGGTGCAAGAAACCCCATAGTGGACAATTATAAATAACACGCCCACAAGGGAAGTTTTTCCCTAATCCCTCGCCATCAGTTAGTGGTTATGTTGTGCCTTGAAGCCTGACAGTTTATATCCCTTCTAAAATTTATTTATATCCCGTCTAACGTGACCATGAATGTTCTTGGTATACATATAAATATCTAATCCTTTTCTGAATCCTGCTAATCTCCTGGCCTCAATGAAACCCCATGGYAACAAATGCCATGTGTTAATTACACATGGTATAAATATTTCCTTGCACCATTTAAAATTTGCTTCCTTCCAATTTCTCTGGGTATCCCTTGATCCCACAATATGAAAAAGGGCAATGAAATTAGAGCTTGTTCATTCTTGCTGAGCTACACTGCTGTCTCTTGATTTCTMTGCTTCTCCTCTAAACTAGCTGTTCTCATCCTCAGCCAGTTTTCCCTGGTCAGGCTGTTAGGCAGTGGCCTGGGGCACAGCACAGAGCTTCCACTTTCTTACCTTATTCTAAGTTGTTATGTTCATTTTGAAGGGAAACAGGGAGAAGAAACCCTGGAAGTTTCAAARGTGCATGCTTGTTGGAGACTCTGAAATCAGATTGCTTTATGTCAGCAGGTACTGGCTCAGCAGCAATATGATGATGCTGTCTGATGCCACCAGCCTTTCCCTCTCCAATGCCTCCAAGTCAGAGACAGAGCAGGATATCTGCAATGTGGTGTCTCTTTAGCCTGATCCAACCCATCTTCAGGCTGCTCCTGAAAGAGGATATCCCCCTCCTATTCCAACTCAGGCATTTCAATGCTTCCTTGCATCCGYGCTAGTTAAGACTAGGCCAGAGGATTAGTCCAGTTGTGAATGAATTAAGCCCTGCACGTCTCTGCTCTGCGTGCCTGCGGCTCCAGTGAAAACTGGAGTTTCAGTGGAAGTAGGACCCTAAGCTGAGGCAGCTGTGCACAGTGATCTTTTGTAACTGTTTTGAGATTGGATGATGATATCCACAGAGAGCTTGTCAGGTGATGCAATGACAGCATGCAAAGTCACAGCTGCCTGGTGTTTTGCTGAAACTCTGTCTCAATAAGGCAGTCCCACAAACGGGCAGCTAATACATATGTACTGCTGAATGCTTTATCACAATACAGTTCAAAACAGAGCAGCGCTGCGCTCTTCATTTCAGAGCCAGGAGAAACGGAGGGACTGGGAGTACGGGTGACACACTAAGGTTCCTCAGGGCACGGAAGGGTGTCTGACTMCTCGTGGCAGCCGCACGCGGAGAAAAAGAAGCGCCGCTTGTGCTCCCTCACTCAGCASCACGAAGTGAGAGCAGAAACGCTGGGGGATTCCCAGGGGTTCGCTAAACCGGAGCCGCCCGCAGCAGCTCTGCGGTGCTCCCGGTGACCAGGCAAGTGCCCGGGATGACCGGAGCCGCCGAGCGCGGAAACACCGCGCCCCGCCGGCCCCGCCCACCCCGCTAGCCCCGCCCCCGGTGGGCGTGGCCGGGCGGTGCTGGGGGCCTGTTGTTGTGATGGGCGCCGGCCCCGCCCCCTCCTCGTGCACGGCCGCGCGCCGCCCCGCCCGCCCCGCCCTCACGCCTTTTGTCCACTCCCCGCGCCCGCCCCGC